CTGATTATTTATGACTCATTTGAATTATTGCTGGGTTTGTTTTGTTTTTTTTTAATGATTCTGGATCAGTTCCAAGAGTCCGTGAGACGTCAGAGTTTAAACCCAGGATCTAAATGTTCCCTCTCCAACTGCCTTCACTCATCTTTGACAAATAAATACATTTTAATGTGATTGTTGTGTTGGTTTTTTCAGTCCTGGTACCGATGTGAACTCCACAGTACCGAGGACTTTGAACTTTGAACATCATCGACGTATACATGAGCTCACTAACGGGATTAGAACCCACGTCCACGTCGAAGCCTCGGCTGTATACTGTGTTACACGTCGTTGTTCTGTGCCGGTGATTTACCGTGACCCACAGACCGACTGTTTCCTGGAACCACCTGTTGACAGTTCTCCTGAAAAACCATCATCGAAGCGACGAAAATGAATATTTGTGTTGAAAAGCATCAGGTTGAAGCGACCTGGAGTCCAACGTGTCATTTATTAGTCTGTCATCAGCCGCGGTCGCTGCACTCACAGAAACAGAAGGGGCGCTAATGACCCCACTGTTAGCTTAGCTAATATGAAGCCTGCGGCTCCACAGTAAACTCACAGTGTGTCATTGATGCATGGAAAAATATTTGAAGAATTTTCTTGACCGTGACTGTGAAGTACACACGCAGTAAAGGTCCTGTAAGGTTCCCACCTCCCAGAGGTCCGTGGTTCTGTGGCAGCAGAACCTGGATCCAGGTCTGTAATCTGGTTCTGTCCCCGTCCACTGACAGCTAATGTCAGTCCTGGAGTCCTGGAGTCCTGGAGTCCTGGAGTCCAGGCTGCTGTGGTTCCAGGTCGACTTCACAGCTTGTTGTCAGTGATTCCCGTCTGATTCTCACCTTCTCTCTAAACGCCAACTTCCTGGTCCTGGGTTTTACTACTACTGTGTGTACTACATACTACAGTAGTACTACATGATTTTCCCATATATTTTAACAAACATATATATATTTTCATGACAGTTTTCCGACCACAGAAACTAATTATTATGTCATGTTATGTTGTTGGTAACCATCAAATTTATTGATGGTTCTTGTTGCTGTAAGGCAGGCCTGTTAACCACTCCACCACCGTGTTACCCACAGTGTTTGTTTTGTTTTTTTCATTATTTAAGATGGAGCCAATCGTAGCACATTGTGTTGTATTAAGATTAAATGTATTTCATCTTTTTTTTTTTTTTCATTATTTAAGATGGAACCAATCTATCAATATATTTCATATTTGATCTAATCATCTTCAGATTACAGTTCTATTCCTGCTTTATTCCCGACTTGTGAACATTGATGAAATGAGATGACACGAACCGACCAATCAGGAACAGCGTTAGCGACTTCCACTTCTGACCAGGTTATCATCATAACTCAGCTCAGAGCTTTGACAGGACCGTGACGGAGCCACAGGTTTGTCCACATCTTATACTGACTCTCCTGGTTCCTTCTTCTTCTTCCTGCTCTGGATTTTTTTTCCCTAAAAGAATTTTGGCTTTTCATCTCAAAGAATTTCTGCCAATTTGGATTTCTTTTTTTTTTTCTTCCACTCACGCAGTGTTTGTGATCGACCTGTGAATAACAGCTTTGTCAGCAGCTGACGTCACCGTGGCAACGTCAAACACTGTATTAACAGTATTTACAACAACAACAACAACAACAACTTACTGTTTATTGACGTAACAGAACGGAAATGTTGTCGGGTATTTTCATTTATTTACATCTAAATTATAAATGTGTCAGATCTGCCCCCCCCCATTACTTAGTACTTTTGAAAAAGAGTTTAATAATGTTGTAATAAAGACAAAACTGCATCCATTATTTCCTCTTCGACAGACGTTTTGCTGTGTAATGCAGTACTCTTGCAGTACAAATACTCTCACCTTTACAAATATCCGTGTCACTCCCTGACCTGGGCTAACTTCCTCCTCACCCTTCCTCCTCCTCATCCTCACCCGTTCCCTCACCTGCAGACCTGTGGCCTCCGCGGTGTCGTCCCACGTCCTCTCTGACCTTGGGGGACACCTGATTTCTTTTCAGTCGCTCCGTTTTTTCCCTCCTGTGCAGGAATCTTAACCATTTCCAGTGTTTTCCTCCAGATCTGCGTTGGCAGGAAAACGCTGGAAATTACAGAGTGGATTTTCTTTTCTTCTTTTCCACCAAAGGTCCAGACTTTACCGCCCGGTTTAGGTTCTACTGAAATATATGCATCGTCTTCTGTGTGGTCAAACCTACGGCTGTTGGTCCATATGTACGTGTCGTGTCGTGCCACAGTGTTTTTGGAATCATTTTCCCTCCGTGTGATTATCACTCACTATTTTGAGCTGAAAACAAAAACCAAAACAAAACTCTAGAGTCTTTAGATCTGAACAGATGTGGGACCAGAACCAGGACTTGTTTACTTTACTGTATGGAGCCACGTGACCCCTGCGACCTCTCATAACATTTTCAACATTTTCACCTCTCAGCTCCGACCATTTTCAAACTACAATTAAAGTTATTTTAGATTCTGCCGTGTTACAACTTTTCCTCTCGTTCTCTCAGGTCCAGACCCGGGATCACCTTTAACCCTTTATTTAACCCTGCCCAGGTAGAACCTGGAAGATAAACCCAGATCCTGTCAGTCCACCTTTTAACGGTCGCAGAGAAAGTGTTAAAACGCACACGTAGAGAAAATGTTTTGTTAAACTTAGGATTTAAAATCTTTGTGGTTTGTGTTTGAATTTGAACACACATTGTGTGTGTAGGTGTGTGTGTGTCAGTGATCTCCGCTCTGAGGATTCGATCAGAGCTGGAAGTTGAACGGAGGGAATGATGAGGTGGCGTTTTCTTTCCTTTCTTCTTCTTCTTCTTCTCTACGTTTAGAAAGACAGAGTGCATTCCATCCGCTTTAGTGTTGAAAAAAGGAAACAGGCCGACACATGGGTAATGTGTGTGTGTGTCAGAGAGAGAGAGAGAGAGAGAGAGGGAGGAGCAGAATTAGAGGCTTGCAGGGCCAGCTCCAGACTGTGCAACGTGTCTGTTGCTGCTGCTGCTGCTGCTGCTGCTGCTGCTCCAGGATCAGATGATCAGAGGAGCTGCAGCTCTGCGTCTCCTGCAGCTCATCTGCTCCATAATGTCTGCCTTCTGTCTAATTACAGCTCACCTGCAGCCCGACCGGCGCTGCACACAGCCCTCTGCTGTGTGAGGGGGGGGGGCACCGGGGGGAGAATCTCCTGTATAAACCTTTATTTGGGCCGGGGCGGGGGGGACGGAGCCGCCTCAAAAAAGGCTTTTATTATTTAGAGCCAATAACAATCATAACGTCTGCAAACCCAGCAATTGTGCGAGTCCAGAACACAGGCGGTGTGTGCCGACTCCAGCTGCTCGCTGGGGGGAAAAATGCAAACATCTGGTTCAGTCATGAGAGAGAGCGACGCTCCTGGTTTACAGTCGTCGACGTCACGCCGCCAGGTATCGCTTAGGAAAACACTTAGGTTAAAAAAAGTACAATTATCGACATCATTTTCATTCACACTAACACGCGGTGAATCGTGGGTTTCTGACTTCACCTGGTGGGGTCAAAGGTGATGACGGTGATGGTGGATTAAGGGTCATCCCTGAAGGTCGAAGTCTCTGCGTCTGGACATCATGTGTGTTCAATTAAAAAAACTGCATCTTTTTTTCATTTTTTATGAGCAGTGAAACACGTTCATATTTCCGCGAGGCCAAACCCGACGCCACCTCCTGGGAAAATTACCGCCTTCATTGGCGGTGTAATTATTTAATCCTTTCTCATCATGTGGCTCATTTACAGGTGACTTCGACTCTTTACCTTCTGTGTTCTGAGGTCTTTGGAATGTGCTGAACACCGAGGGTTTTTTTATAATGTAAAATGTAGGTTTACAGGTACCGCGCACGTGGAACACAAACTGTGGTGCGCAGCCTTTTTGTGGCTCCAGCTGTGCTGAATCTGATGAAGGTTTTCATTAACCTTCAATTGAGTCAGCATAATATGAAGTTAGGCGTTAGCCTGAGGCTAAAAGACGAGGAATGGTCTTTTAGCATTAGCATCCGTACGTAGCCTCTTTATTAGTTAAATTCATTTTCGTGCAATTATTTTTAAAACTGACCAAAAAAACAAAAAACGAACAGACTTAAATATCTGGGTTAGTCAGCCAATAAGGCCAGAGTCAACATTTCCCATGATGCATTGTACCTTTTAAACACAGCCCAATACCACAGTATGTCTCAGGATGAAGTAATGGCCTGGATGAACAGTTTTATCTTCGGTTCTTTTTTTTTTTCTCCTCCAGTTTTGTGAAAGTTTGGTTTAAAACGTTGATCAAATAAACAAAAAAAAAAAAGTCTTCAACCGTCCGCTCTCATCAGAGCTAAATTAGCATCGCACACTCAAGTACAAGGTTGGTTCAACCTACTAATTAAAACAAACAGTGTGTTGCCACGCTCAGCGTGTTCACACTCCGACTGTTAAAGCTGTAAAAACACTTTAAAACGACTAAAACAACAGTCCAGGAAATTCTCCAGACACAGAATTCCCTCTGTTCTAGAACAAAAAAGGAAAGAAAAAAAATAACAACGAGGATGGATCTCAGATGTTTAGATGAGCTGTTATCAAAGTCAACCAGGAAGTAGAAGAATTAACTTTAAACCCATGTACTTCTGGAAGAGGAGATCCTCCTCCGACCCTGCGATGCTCCTCAGGATCGGGTTTCCTCCTGCTCGGCCCCCTCTTCTTTCTCTGATCAAAACTCCAAACTCTTGGAATCATATGGAAGGAGGGATCTGCTTTTTCCTCCTTCTTCTTTTTTTTTTTCTTTTCTTCTTTTTTTTTTCCACTTTGAAGGAGGGGTCCATTCTTGTCTTCCCTAAACGTGAGCAGCAGCAGCAGCAGGGTAATGAGGGTGCGTCCAAATTCGGTCCAGTCCCCGGCACCGCCCAGTTCTCCAGGCTCCCATATAAAAACCCTGGTGGAAAGTCAGTGGAGGCAGTAGGGAGTTTTCTGCTGGGGTCAGGAGGACTGTGATCAGACAAGCGGACCCTGCCCCAGTCACCCGTGTATGATTGGAGTGTAGCAGAAAGAGAAAACACCCCCAACTTTTTTTCCTCTCTTGCCTCAAAGAGTCTACATGTCTAGTGGCATCTAGATATGTTCAGCTTTGTGGATTTGCGGCTGGCGCTGCTGCTCAGCGCAGCGGTGCTTCTGGTCAGGGCGCAGGGCGAGGACGACCGTAAGTTTCATCACTTTACTGGAGCTTCTCAACTCTTTTTTTGTTCTTTTTTCCTCTTGTTTTTTTGAACGTGGATTGTCTTGTTGCGTGGGCGGACGACTGCTGAGATCTAGACCAGAAAGGATGAGAGTTTGAAATAGAAGTGTTGAATTTTGTGTGCTGCTCCTTTAAACCTGCAGATAAACTGACGGCTCGTCTGCATAGAGAGATAGAAAGATAGATGGGATAGACAGACCAGCTGGTAGTTTACTCAGTAATGCATCTCAACAAGGCCTCTCTCTCTCTCTCTCTCTTTTCAACCTCTCCTTGTGTTTGTCAATGTCTCTCGACCCTCCACCCCCCCATGCCCCCCCACCCCACATGCATGCAAAGCGAGTTGATGCAGGTTTTCCACTCTCCACTCCAGGCAGTGGTCTCCTGGGGACAAAAAAAAACCTTTTGGCCTCAAAAAAAAAAAAAGATATGAAGAGATGCCTCTTTTTTCTCACCTTAAAAAGGTTAAAGTTCAGCTGATTAAATCGTGCAGGTTTTTGACAAAAGACTGGAGAAAGAGTTAAAGAACCACGAGGACCAGGATCTGACCCCCCTCCCCCCCCACCAGACATGTCAGACGCAGGGAAAGTTTCTGGCTGAGACCTGACTGATGTGGCAGAGTAATTCACTGCCTGAGGCCAAGTGATGAGTTGGTCAGACGAGAGAGAGAGGGAGAGAGAGAGAAAGAGAGAGAGAGTCAGGTCTGCTGGAAACATCTGACCAACGTCAGGTTCTACGTTCTTTAATGTAACTTTAGATCCATTTTTTTGGTGGAACGTGGGTCTGGGTTTGTCAGTGGAACGCAGGCCGTTCCTAGACTCTACTGACAAACATTTTCCTTCCAGAGGAGACAAAGAGAATCCGTCCCACAGACTCAGATCTCTGAAGTCCAGAGCCAGAAGTTGAAGGTTCTATTTTTCCAGATGTTCCTCTGGTCTGGAAACCACTAACTGAAGCAGATGTGCTTTAACCCTTTTAGTCTGTGTCACAGCGCCACCCAGAGGCTTCCCTCGCCGCCTGCAGGACACATCTGGCCGCCACGTCCCCCACGCTCCCCCTCCCCTCCCTCGCCACCACCTCCTCCACTTCTTCATCTTTCCACTTTTTTTTTTCTTTTTTTCGCCCTCGTGTTTCATCTAATTGAAAACACATGCGCAGTGTTTCCAACACTTGTTGCCAAGCGGTCAGTCTGCGGTACTGCACTTCCTCTCTGAGCTCAGCACTATGGCATGTTGGGAAGTTTAGAAAACTAATAAATAACAGTGTCCAGTCCGGGCCGAAGTGGCGGCGGCGGTGACTCATCTGGACTTCCGGTTTTAACTTGAACGTTTTATGTAGTTTGTTGTGGTTTAATTTGAACAGAGTCACGCACTGTGTCTGTGTGTGAACACATTTCCATCCTCTTTCGGACAGACATCGTCTGTGACTCCGACACTCGGTTCAACTTCCGTTTTTCCCATCGTGCATTTCGTCATCGTTATTCTCCTTATTTTGAGTCCATTTAATTGTCCGACGTTTGTCTCTAGAAGTTTCTCTGAGGTGAAATCGAACTGTGGCTGAAATTAATGTTTACATTCTGTCAAAATGTAACGTTTAAAGTCATAGGGATAATTACGTTAGATTCTTGAAAATAATGTGTTCATTCGTGTCTTTGAAATCCGATTTTATTTTTATTCAAAAATCGCGATCTTGTTGGTGTTTACTTCACTTAAAGGCTCCTTTTCACACACAGTCATTAGGTTCAAAGGTCAGTGTATCTGTGTGTGTGTGTTTTCACCTGTCAAAGGTGTCTCATCAGCACCTCTCACACCCCTCTCTGTATTGCCCTCTGGCGCCCCCTCAGGCACGGGCTCGAGCTGCACTCTTGACGGTCATGTGTTTGCGGACCGGGATGTGTGGAAACCAGAACCATGTCAGATCTGTGTGTGCGACAGTGGCCACGTGATGTGCGAAGAGGTCATCTGCGAGGACACAAGTGACTGTGCCAACCCAGTCATCCCCCACGACGAGTGCTGCCCCGTCTGCGCTGACGATGGTAGGGAGTCTGAACTGAACTGTTGACATTTTTCTCATGTCGATCCTTTTTGTTTTCTGCCTCTGAACGCCTTTCTCCTCTTCCCCCAGGCTACCAGGAACAAGTTGAGGTAAATATTTTTGGGGGATTTTGAATATAAACATGTGTTTGTTAAACTGATATAATTTATTATTTACATTGATTTTTGTCAGTTGATTAATAACTTTATTCAATGTTTGACTTTAAAGATTAATGTTTGATTTTTCCTGTTTTTTTTAATCCACCAGGGACCCAAGGGAGAGCGTGGACCCAAAGGAGAGAGAGTAGGTCCACATTCTCTTCCTCTCAGTGTTTCACCTCGGGGCCTGCTGCTGCGTTCAGGGCCTGCGTGTTCATGTCGGGGCTGACTGCAGCGCTGCATGTTTACGTTGTCAGTCTAGTCCAGCACAGAGGGTTTAGGATCAGCGTAGAACTAGAGGCAGTAGAAGGTGGAGGACGCAGTTCGACACTTTTGTTGATTCAGTTCAGTTATTTCTTGTTTTTGCTTTTTTTCTGGCAGTTGGTTTTGATTGGTTTGTCAACAACAGCTGATAAACCTGCAGCCTGTGGAGACAGTATCTGAAAATATGAATTCTTTTCCCAGTGAACTGTTTGTGACTGGGACAGTCAGAGTTAATTGTTTTAACTTGACTAAAGTTAATTCTCAGGGTTCAGGTTTTTTTAATTAACATTTTGAATTAACATTTTATGACCTCTGATGTAGAACTCTCAGTTTTTCACTGGGTGAAGGAGGATTCTCCTGCTCACAGGTTTAGGTGACCTCATCATGACCCACCTCCCGTACCTGGTCTGATGTGAGTCACGTGACTCGTGCTTCCTGCTGGGTCACATGACCAGAGGGCTGTTTCCTGCACTGTTAGCATCCTAAAAAAAAAGACATGGAAGGAAGTGACTTGTTGTAAATGGAGTTGTTTTGATCGACGCGAGTGCAGACGGTCACGTGACTCAGCCAGGGACGATGTTTTCTCTGCGTGTGGCTGCGATTGCATCACAGCTGACCTTGTAGTGTGACCCCTGAGTCTGACCCATACATTGATCTGCAGGGTCCTCCTGGTCCCCCTGGTAACGATGGCATCCCCGGTCAACCTGGACCAGCTGGACCTCCCGGCCCCCCTGGACCTCCCGGCCTCGGTGGAGTAAGTTACCTTTTTTTATTTTAATTTCTTTATGTGATTTTACATTTTCCAAAGCTTTAAAGGCCACTTTGACAATGACTGGATATATATCTCAGCTGTGCATATATATATATATATATGAATATATATCTGAGTCAGTTTGTGCTTCATGTTCATCCCATGATCCAGTGTTTGGACTGGGGTTTGTAACTAGCAGTTGCCTTTTATTCTGAGGTCAAAGGTTAGGTGTGTTTGATCCAATGCTAAAGAATGTTAGCGTTAGCTAATATAAACAGGTTCCTGTGACATCATGATCTGGGGTTATTTCAGGTCTGCAGATGTTGGACTTTACCTGAAGCTGAAGCTAACATCAACCAGACAGTATTATTATTATTATTATGGGATGCACTCAGTCAGTGACCTGAGAGTCCTGCACTCATCCAGTCGTTAAGATTTAGAACTGGGTTGAATTCTGGGTAACGCAGTTGACCTGGTCTCTGTTAGAGAACCAAACGTAACCATTAGCATTTGACGAACAATTGAATATATTTATAATTAAAACTAAATAAATATGTATAAATAAAAAATATCAACATGGAAATTTCAGATTGTCCTGTTTGTTCAAATTTAACTGTAAATTGTTGTTTACTTTTGACTCATTCTTGTTCTTTTGCCCCCCCACCTCCTTTCTCCCCCCAGAACTTCTCCCCTCAGATGTCCAGTGGCTATGATGACAAATCACCCGCCATGCCCGTGCCTGGACCAATGGTAGGTCACCTGTCCGTATATGCACAAACACATGTCTGACGACCACATGGTGACTGACTCTGCTGTGTGTTTGATTGACAGGGCCCAATGGGACCCCGCGGACCCCCAGGACCTGCTGGATCTAGTGTACGTTTCCACCTCCTCTCCTTTTTCCTTCCTCAAAAATAAGTCGTGTCACGTTATGACTGTGACGGCAGTTAAAGATAAAACACAGAACTATAGACGCACACACTGTCTCTGTGCACATGAAACACGCATAAATATAATGTAAATAAATATAGTATCTGATCAGAATGAATACTGCAGTTTAATGTGTGTTTTCAGTGGCAGGTTTGACCAGAACATTTAAGATTTACTGCTGTTTTAGTTAAAAATTAACTTCACAAAACATCCTGAAAATGAGGCCCAGCAGACACAGCCTGTGTTCTAGTGTTTTTATTTTGACCTCTTGTTAGCTTAGCGGCTAACCCTTCCTAAAACCAGTTATTTTCTGTGAGGACTTTACACATTACAAATTACAAAAATTGTGTTTGAAGAAATGAAAAAGTTTAACAGAACAGAAAGTTCACGTTTTTTTCTTTGTTTTGTGTAAAAATCAGTTTAAATTTCTAAGTTACTTTCCCAGAATCCCTCGGTGTCAGGGGTATTTATAGCTGACGACACCTGTTGTGTGAAGCGTCTGATGGTTGTGTTTGTTGTGTCATGGTGTCACTGCTCCACTGGGACTGTTTTGTGACCTTGTCTCTGTTCTCCTGCCCCCTACAGGGACCCCAGGGATTCACCGGCCCCCCTGGTGAGCCTGGTGAGGCTGGAGCTGCTGTAAGTACAACAACAACCGCATCACCTGGTGTGAAACTACACACACATTCCACCTGTTGTTCAGTTCTCACCCCGTCTGTCCCTCTCTCTCTCTCTCTCTCTCTCTCCCCCTGCAGGGTCCCATGGGTCCCCGTGGAGCTGCCGGCCCCCCTGGAAAGAACGGAGAGGACGTAGGTTTGACTCTCTGGAAACGACCAAAGTCGCTCTGACTTCCTGTTCTAACTACTTTGACTTCTTCCTGTTTTCCAGGGTGAGTCTGGCAAACCCGGTCGCAATGGTGAGCGCGGACCCTCTGGCCCACAGGTGAGCGAACCCCCCACCACCACCACCACAACAATCTGTCAAATATCAAATCAAAACAAAGACGTAGCATTGATGCTAACGCCCGTCTGTCTGTCCGCAGGGAGCCCGTGGTTTCCCCGGAACCCCCGGTCTGCCCGGCATCAAGGGACACAGAGTGAGTGACCGACCCACCCCTGACGGACACTGGGGTTGTGTGTGTGTTTTGTCCTTTTGTGTGTGATTCTAAGTGAACGTCTCCATTTTCTTCTCCAGGGATTCAGTGGTCTGGATGGAGCTAAGGGAGACGGCGGCCCTGCTGGACCCAAGGTTGGTCACTGCCTCCGCTTTGACTGCACAGATTCATGTCACAGTGCAGAAAAGTATCACTCACTGACCAGTGGTCCAGTCAGGAGCAGAGCCACAGACGGCACCTGCAGTAATAATCAGTGGCAGAGAGGGGGCAGAGTTGAACCCTGTGACTCGTATTTACTAAAATTGTGTGTCTCTGTTGACACTTTAACCTTCATGAATTATTTTCCTGGTTATAAACAGAATCCAGTTTTTACTTCTACAGCCCACACTTACAAAATTGATTTTTTTTTAGTTTTTATACCAAGTTGGAAATGAGTAAATATTTAAAAACCCTAAGATTTACAGTTCAAAACTGAGGAAAGTGTGAGGGTGAAGCAGTAAGAGAGGCAGCCATGTTGGTCAGTTAGTTACCTGGGGGCAGCCATGTTGGTTTAGATCCATGTTTGAAATGGAGGAAAAACTCAAAGGATTCAGATCTGACGTCCTCACCTGTCTGTGTGTTCAGGGAGAGGCTGGAGCTCCTGGTGAGAACGGAACCCCCGGTGCTATGGTGAGTACAACATGTCCAGACGATGATGATGAAGATGATGATGATGAAGATGACATCCAGGTTTGACTGAGTGGTCTTCTCTCTCTGTCCGTTCACAGGGACCTCGTGGTCTGCCTGGTGAGAGAGGCCGTTCTGGTGCTAACGGTGCTGCTGTGAGTCCAAACACACACACACACACACACACACACACATATGAATGACATGATGACACACATGTTCACACCACTCATCAGTGAGAGCCTCCATCATTGAATCATGTTGTCTGTGTGCTGCAGGGAGCTCGTGGAAACGATGGTGCCGCTGGTGCTGCCGGACCTCCCGTGAGTTTGTCTCTTTTTTATTTTACTCTCTGTGTCACTGGTTTTTTTCTGTTCTTAAAATAGAAATAGTTAAATTTAATAGTAACAAATGTAACAAAGTTAGAAACCTCTGATCATCCTGTCTTCATTTATGGTCCAGTGTGTCTTGACTGTGGATCTGTTTCTTCTCAGGGTGCCACTGGACCTGCTGGACCCCCTGGATTCCCTGGTGGCCCTGGAGCCAAGGTACAACCAGGAACACTGTGATCTGAGAGTGTCCCCCTCCTCACCTCTCCTCACCTGTCCTCACCTGTCCCGTCCCCTCCTCTTTTCTCCACCCTACTCACACCCTTTATCTTCTCCCTTTCCCAATTTTTTTTTACACTACTTCAATCCTAATCTGACCTCTGACCCAGTAGGGGTCACATGGGGTAAAGAGGTCACTTAGAAGAATGCCTTCATATATTTATATACACTCCCTGTAGTCAGATAATACAAACGTATGGATTTATATTATTAATAATAATATTTAAATGCACATTAAATAAAAAATAAAAATGACAGAAATAATATTTTTTCATTAAAATCATATGAATATTTATCTTTCAGGGAACAGAACTTTTTAGCTCGAACTCTAGCAGGACTGATTTTAGAGGCGACACACGGTGCAGATTATCTACGTTATTTTCCGTCCCGTCCAATCACAGCGTCTCTTATTCTTTGGCTGTACATTTCTGACTCTTGGTGTTTGTTTTCCGTCCACTCAGGGTGATGCCGGACCTCAGGGAGGACGTGGACCCGAGGGACCCGCTGGATCCCGTGGTGAGCCTGGAAACCCCGGACCTGCTGGCGCTGCTGGACCTGCTGTTAGTACCAACAGTTGGCGCTGTTGTCATTATTATTATTATTCCAGGCCACAGAAGAATTGTGATTTTTTTTTTTCATGCACCAAATTTTATTCTTATTTTCTTTCCTTTTAGGGAAACCCCGGAACTGATGGAGCCCCTGGTGCTAAGGGAGCCCCTGTGAGTAACTCACCCGCTGCATCACCAGCCTGAACATATTTTAGGGTTAAAGTTTCAAAGCCTTTTATTTAGCTGAAATAAAATAGTTCTTGGCGCTAAAATGAGTGAAATTTCATAGTTTAAAAAGCCACAAAAACCCAACACTGCCAACGTGGTGTGACTGTGTTCTTGTCGTCTGCTGCCCCCTACAGGGTTCTGCTGGAGTTGCTGGAGCACCCGGCTTCCCCGGACCTCGTGGACCCCCAGGAGCTCAAGGAGCTGCTGGTGCCGCCGGACCCAAGGGAAACACTGTGAGTAAAGATGTTACTGTTACTGATCTAATAATAATAATAATAATAATAAAATTAAAATATGTTAAAAATAAACATATTGATGTAATGAATGCAACATAATACATTGCAGTTTTTAGTTGATGATGTTTAATCTGCTGGTCATTTCTAGTTTGTTTGTTTGTTTGCTGACTTTTGTTTTGTTGCTTTGTCGCCCCCTACAGGGTGATGCTGGTGCCCCAGGAGCCAAGGGAGAGGCCGGTCTCAAGGGAGAGGCTGTAAGTTCATCACTCCTAACCTGAGGTGGCGCTAATGGTACCACATACCTGGTCCATACATCTGGTCTAACTGTGTGTGTGTTTGTCCTCCAGGGTGCCCCAGGAGTTCAAGGACAACCAGGACCTCCAGGTGAGGAGGGCAAGAGAGGATCAAGAGGAGAGCCCGGTGCTGCCGGAGGCCGTGGAGCCCCTGGAGAGCGTGTACGTAAATTTGACACAACTCTTCTCATATACTATATCAATTGTAATACGCTGGGTAGGAACAGTTATAGAGATGCCCCCTGCTGGTGTGGACACAAACTACAGCGAGTCAATGCTTATTGAAATCACCCAGAAATGAATCTTTCTCTCAACTTGAGAGTAATTTAAACTGTGATGTATTTATAGTATAACTGTAATATCATTTATATATTATGATTTATTATAAATAAATATGATAAATAAGGTAAAATTATTTTCAAAGTAAAGATTTATTTTTGAACAGTGAAGAGAATCTGTGTCTCTCATGTACCAGGTCTAACATCATATCTCTTGATTCTTCCTGTAGGGTGCCCCTGGTGGTCGTGGTTTCCCTGGTTCTGATGGCCCTGCTGGACCCAGAGTGAGTCAACCTTTCACTCCTCCTACATCTTCATCGAACTCGTACACACAACAACAACAACAACAACATGGTGATGTTCTAACATGTACTTCTTCTTCTTCTTCTTTCTACCATCTTTAGGGTGCCAACGGTGAGCGTGGTGCCCCCGGTCTTGTTGGACCTAAGGGTAACAGCGGTGAGTCTGGACGTACCGGAGAGCCTGGTCTGCCCGGAGCCAAGGTGAGATACTCCATCAGTCATATGATCAACAACAGAATGACTCCTCTGCTGCACAGACATCTGAATGTTAACCTTTGACCTCCAGGGTATGACTGGTAGCCCCGGCAGCCCCGGACCTGAAGGCAAAATGGGACCTGGTGTAAGTTCATGTTCGATTTAACGCTGAAGTAAAAGTCTTCATCTCAGATGAAGAGAAATTCTCAATCGCCTCTTCATCGATCAATGCAGGGAACCCCTGGACAAGATGGCCGCCCTGGACCCCCTGGATCTGTTGGAGCTAGAGGCCAGCCTGGTGTCATGGGATTCCCCGGACCCAAGGGAGCCGCTGTGAGTAACATGCCCCCCCACTTTACCCTCCCGCTACACAGAAATACTTTCAAAAGTTCCAGTCAAAACAGAAATTCTGAACCAAATCCTTTCTAACATGTTTTTTTAATTTCCTGTAGGGTGAGGGTGGAAAGCCCGGCGAGAGAGGAGTGATGGGACCCACCGGCGCCACTGTAAGTGGTCTCCTGCCCTCCCACTCCTCCAAGCTCTTTAGTCTTGTTGTTGTTGACCTCAGTGTCTAAAACCCAACATCTTTCTTTCTACCCAGGGTGCCCCTGGAAAGGACGGAGATGTTGGTGCCCAGGGACCCTCTGGACCTGCTGTAAGTACCAGTAACGGGACCACGGACCAGCCCGGTGCGGTTGGCATTCCTCTGCAGTGTGGACTGACTCCCTAACTCTCCCATCTGTAGGGCCCTGCTGGTGAGAGAGGAGAGCAAGGACCTGCTGGACCTCCTGGATTCCAGGGACTTCCTGGACCTCAGGGTGCTGTTGGTGAGACTGGAAAGCCTGGAGAGCAGGTACTGACCGAGACGCAGTACAGACCACCACAGACTGCAGTGTTTTCACTTGTTTCAAGTGACTAACCATGTTGTGCTTCTTCTACCGTCCAGGGTCTGCCTGGTGAGGCCGGAGCTCCCGGTGTTGCTGGATCAAGAGTAAGTCAAAGACATCAGTACTTCATCAGTACTTCATCAGTACTTCATTTGGTGACTTGATCCTTTCGGCCGTCCTCTGGCGTGTCTCTTCAAGTCATATAGTCTCCTAGTATAGCTAAATGGTTTGTTGTTAGCTGTTAGCATTGTAAAAACAGAAGTAGTTCATGTAACTAGCATAGCTAGCACACTGTCGTTGATACTTTTCCACATTTCCACACAACAAGCTAATGCTAAGTGGCTGCTGTCATCAAAGCTGCCACATTTGAACTTTTTATCTTGTATTTACACTGAAACTGCTATAGAATAGAATATTACCCAGAGCAGAGGGAAGCTAAAGAAGCTAAGGAGGCTAAGGTCAAAGTCAGTTACCTTAATAACTCCACACTAACCTGAACATTTAGTTAGTTTGACTACTTTTCCACTCCTCTTCCAACAACTGACTCTTCATCACTCCTCCACCATCCTCAGGGAGACAGAGGATTCCCTGGTGAGCGTGGTGCCCCCGGTGCTATTGGACCCGCTGGTGCCCGTGGATCCCCCGGATCCGCTGGAAATGAGGGAGCCAAGGTGAACCACCACAGATATTGACAACATCGAGCGGTTGTGTTCTGATCAGGCAGGAGTTAAACATATCTCTCCTCCTCCAGGGAGACGCTGGTGCCTCTGGTGCCCCCGGAGCTCAGGGTCCTCCTGGACTGCAGGGTATGCCTGGTGAGCGTGGTGCTGCTGGCCTTCCTGGACTGAAGGGAGACAGAGTGAGTCCCTTTTTTTTTTTCTCCAAAATCCCCCGGGCTTGTAGTCCCATTCCCTGAATCCTCACCTGTGTTTTTCACACCAACCTCAGGGTGACCAAGGAGGCAAGGGTACCGATGGTTCTCCTGGAAAGGATGGACCTCGTGGTATGTCTGGACCTATTGGACTTCCTGGACCCGCCGGAAATCCCGGAGACAAGGGAGAGCCTGGCGCCGCCGGCCTTGTTGGACCCGCTGGAGCCCGTGGACCCCCTGTAAGACACTTTCTGACTCTTTCTTTCTTTCAGAAAGTTGTTCTTTAGATTCGGCTTCTTGAGCACCTTCAGATTTTTTTGATGGACTCTTCTTCTTTGACCAGGGTGAGCGTGGAGAGTCTGGACCCCCCGGACCTGCTGGCTTTGCCGGACCCCCTGTGAGTACTCTCTCTGTGAATGCCCAGGTCTCTCTTCCCAGGTCTTTTCTCTTGAACAGAAGTCAATCATTCTGTTTCTCCAACAGGGTAATGAGGGAGCTCCTGGTGCTAAGGGAGAGGCTGGAGATAATGGTGCTAAGGGAGATGCTGGTCCTCCCGGAGCTGCTGGACCTACTGGTGCCCCCGGACCTGCGGTTTGTATTTTATATACAATTATGCAGGACATACGGTTACATGCACTGGTTCTGCCATGTAGAGTGACACACTTCTGTTTCCCTTTAGGGACCTGTTGGCAACACTGGTGCTAAGGGAGCCCGCGGACCTGCTGGACCTCCTGTAAGTCCCTTCAGGACCTCGTCTGTGTCCCTTACTCCACAGTGACAGGACATTTCCTAAACCTCTGTTCCTGTGTCTTTGTTCCTAGGGTGCTACTGGCTTCCCTGGTGCTGCTGGCCGCGTCGGACCTCCCGGCCCCTCTGTGAGTCTCACTTTTGTTCTCCTACTTCTGCTCCCCCTTGTGGCGGAGTCTTGATGATGAAGGTGTATTTTCTGTCCTCCCGCCACAGGGAAACCCTGGACCTCCCGGAGTCTCTGGACCTGCTGGCAAAGAAGGACCCAAAGGAAACCGTGGTGACACTGGACCTGTCGGTCGCCCTGGTGAGCTTGGAGCTGCTGGACCTCCAGGACCTTCCGGAGAGAAGGGTAGCCCTGGTGGTGATGGTGCTCCTGTAAGTTCTGTTTGGCAACACCTTAAAAAAACAACAACTTCCACGGCCGCTCTGCGTCATTGAGACCATGTCATGGTGGTTCCTGTCTCTGTGTCCGTGTGCAGGGTAGTGCTGGTATTCCTGGACCTCAGGGTCTGGCTGGAAGCCGTGGTATTGTTGGTCTGCCTGGACAGAGAGGAGAGAGAGGTTTCCCTGGTATGCCTGGACCTTCTGTGAGTTCTTCACCACCGAAAGTACAACTGATTTTCTCTGTTCAGAATGGTCCAAAAGTAACTGAGCTCACTGCCTTCACCAACAGGGAGAGGTCGGAAAGCAGGGACCTGCTGGCCCCGGCGGTGAGCGTGGACCTCCTGGACCCATGGGACCCCCTGGATTGGCTGGTGCCCCTGGTGAGCCCGGACGTGAGGTATGGCAAAATATCTGTGTAAAGTTAGCAACATTTTTCTTGCTCTTAGTTCTTAGTGAGTAAAAACCCACTCCTGTGTTTTAGGGAGCCCCCGGTAACGAGGGATCTTCCGGCCGCGACGGAGCCGCTGGACCTAAGGTAACATTATCTCAACCAAACCAGACCAAGAGGAGTCGGTCCAGTTCAGACCGGCGGCAGCTGCTGATGTGATGTCTCTGTGTTTCAGGGAGACCGTGGAGAGACCGGACCTGCTGGAGCCACTGGTGCCCCTGGACCCTCTGGTGCCGCCGGACCTGTTGGACCCGCTGGCAAGACCGGTGACCGTGGAGAGAGTGTAAGTGACTGAGTGGAGCGGCTCTTTTTTGACTTTGACAGCGTCCGGATTTTAACTCTTTCTCTCCTTCAGGGACCTGCTGGCCCAGCTGGCCCTGCTGGTCCTTCTGGACCTCGTGGCCCCGCTGTAAGTACCGATACCAGAACACTTCAAACACACCTGTGATGGAGGAAACGGAGACCGTCACTAACTTCTTCTCACAAACAGGGTGCTGTCGGAGCTCGTGGAGACAAGGGAGAGTCTGGTGAGGCTGGAGAGAGAGGCATGAAGGGACACAGAGGATTCACCGGCATGCAGGGACCTCCTGGACCCTCTGTAGGTGTCTCTGCTCCACAGCCTGCACGCTACACACTGCATGGAAGCTATTCAACCTGTGGCTCACCTGTTTCTGTTTCTACAAACTTGTAGGGACCTTCTGGAGACCAGGGACCTGCTGGTGCTGCTGGACCCGCTGGACCTAGAGTACGTTGATTGGTATCACTTCAAGATGATTCTTGATGTAAAATGTCTGGTCTGGTACGATTGAAGGTTTTTCTCCATGCTGTCTGCAGGGCCCATCTGGATCTGCTGGTTCTCCCGGTAAGGATGGTATGTCTGGCCTGCCTGGACCTACTGGACCTCCTGGACCCCGTGGACGTTCTGGAGAGATGGGACCTGCTGTAAGTCTGTCAAAACGTTGGTACCACCTGGTACTGTTTGGTACTGTTCGATGCTTGAGATAACTCCTCCTGTCTCTTTTATGTTTCTTCTTCCTCTCCACAAATAGGGACCTCCTGGACCTCCCGGACCCCCTGGACCTCCTGGTGCCCCTGGTGGCGGATTTGACCTCGGCTTCATTGCCCAGCCACAGGAGAAGGCACCTGATCCCTACCGTTTGTTCCGTGCTGATGATGCCAATGTTCTCCGTGACCGCGATCTGGAGGTGGACAGCACCCTGAAGAGCCTCAGCCAGCAGATTGAGCAGATCCGCAGCCCCGACGGAACCCGCAAGAACCCTGCCA